AGCGGATTCATTAAATGACTTTCGTAAATGCTGTACCTAAGAAGCCCATTGATGAGAGTACATATAACCATTATCTATACAATACTATCCCTACTGTTACTGAACCGTTCAAGCTTCACCTTGTTACTGAAGAAAAAATTCTTGACATTTTTAATGAAATCAAGTCGCACGCAACAGACCTTGATGGGCTTAACATTGATATACCTGTATTTTCATACGTTCTACCTTTTGTGTGAAAGCTCTAACGCACATTATTAATTTTTCGCTAGAATGTGGATGCGTACCAAAAAAATGGAAAGCAGGTAGAGTGAGACCAATACCTAAAAATGATAATCCACAAACTCCAGGAGACTATAAAACCGCTTTTATCTAAAATACTTGAGAGAATTGTTCATGAACAAGTGTTAGCTTATATTGAAAGAAATAGGTTAATCCCGAATAGAAAATCAGGATTCCGAAAAAACCACAGCACTGTTACAATTTTAATTGATCTTCGCGACGACTATCTGAGGGCTATTGATGGTTCTTGTGTAACAACTGCTGTTTTTATTGATTTGAGTAAAGCATTTGACTGTTTGAATCATAGAATGCTTCTAGCAAAGTTACATTACTCTGGATTTTCTCATGAATCAGTTACCTGGTTCCAGAGCTACCTAACTGGACGCGTACACAGGGTCGAAGTTGGGCATTGTTTTTCTGTTGAAAAGGAACTGGCTAAAGGTGTCCCTCGGGGATCAGTTTTGGGCCAGATTTTATTCACGTTGTATGTCTCAGACCTAGTTAACTCCATCAAGTTCTGTCGTCTGCACTCATATGCTGATGATACTCAGATTTACCTTTCATTCACTCCCTCTGCGTATATCGAAGCAAACAGAATGTTAGCTGCCGATTTAAACAATTTATGTAACTGGCTCGAGAACCATGGTCTATGCATTAATTCGAAAAAGCCTGCTGTCATTGCGTTCAAATCCAAACACAGTAATTTTTATAGTAATCTAATGAATCTGTGTATCGAAAATGAAACACTATACTAAAATTCAGCCCAAGTGAGACCACAATATCGCAAACTCGAAGCGTGATCAGCGCGTGATCGATGTTCCCGCAGAGGGTCTCATTATAGTTCAGGCATTTTACGGTTTGAAGTTGTAGTTTGAAGCGCTTGCTTTTTCAACTAATAGTTTCATTTCGTAGCTTTTATTTTTCTTTTTTTGAACTTTCCGCCCCTCATATTGATGCCTTTGTTAAATACAATGTCCTGAAGTGGCTCCAATATAAAACTCCATGAATTTAGAAAACATGCAGTTTCGAACATTTTTTAAGACCTAGTTAGACTGTAGCAATACAAAACCCGCCGTTGCGCCGGGTTGATGTCTACAATAACCAGAGTTGTAATCAGGCCGTGGCGTGGCGTCGAGTGCATCGCTGTTATAAGTTCTGTTATATCTGGTGTTTTTTGACCATGTCTTCTACCGACACAGCTGATGAAGGGAGAACTACATTGAGTCCACCCAGGAAACGATCAAGACAAAACCATTTGAGCATCGAAGTGAAAGAAATTATTTTAAATGTTTACAAATGTGAAACGGAGGAAAACCCTGAGCTCAGCGTCAACGATGTTGTGCAGAGGGTGGCGAATACAGTTGGAGTTTCTCGTGCATCGGTATTTAGAGTACTCAAAGAATATAAATTACGGAATGCATTTGCTGAACCTAAAACGAATCAGAACCGTAAAAGCCAAATTAAAGAAATAGATGATGCTGACAGACATGCGATCAGAAGGAAGGTTCATGAATTCTTTTTCCAGAATGAAATTCCTACAATTGATAAGATTTTGAAAGTAGTGAATGAAGACTCAGATTTGCCGAATTTTAGTAAAACGACGTTCTACAGGCTATTAAAGGAACTCAACTTCAATTGGCAGAAGAGGGGCCGAAACAGTTCATTGATGGATAGAGATGAAATTATACTATGGAGGAGAGAGTATTTGACAAAAATAAAAACATACAGGAGCCAAAACCGTAGAATTTACTTCCTGGACGAGACGTGGATAAATGCTGGCCATACAAAATCAAAAGTTTGGGTGAACCAAACAGTAACGTCAGCAAGAAGAGCGTTTTTAGATGGGCATTCAACTGGGCTTAAAAACCCTACAGGTAATGCAGACATTCCATTTTAGAAAATCCAACAATAGTTATTAGATAATTTTTCATAGCCAAAGTGATTTAAGTGAGGCATTACACGTTATCAGATATCTAGAAAAAACGAGGGGATGTTCACTCTGGAAATCAATGTATTCTACGTTGGAATTCTTATGGTATCGATGACAAGATTTTTTACAGCAATGCGAGCGTTGCATAGACAACATACCTCGTCCGTCAGGGAATGTAACACGTTAATTAACAACGTCAGACATTGCGTTGATTTGTAAATTTTTCGATAAGTTTGTCATACTTGATAATTTTTTAGTTTAATTGATGTTGCCTGTTTCTTTTTTGTTTTTTAAGCTAACCAGATTCATCAACAGATTAAATGATGCATTGGTTGAAGTGTCCGATATATCTCACCGCATGCATCCCGCTATCATGAGAAACAATATAGCATCGTATATAAAATACATAAATGTGTCCCTATCTCCGTGGCCTCAGTACTCTTGTGAAAGACATATAATGTACATCCGTATTTAACAAGTTTTATCTTTATAGGCAAAGGAAAAAGGTTCATTATTTGCCACATCGGGAGTGTAGATGGCTTCGTGAAGGAAGGACTATGGTGTTTTGAATAAAAAAAAAACACTGACTACCACGAAGAGATGAATGGTGAAGCATTCGAAAACTGGTTTTTAGGCATTTTACCACGTCTTAAAGACAATTCTGTAGTGGTCCTGGATAATGCTCCGTATCATTCTCGGAAATTAGAAAAAATTCCAAATTCATCTTTTAAGAAATCAGAGATACAGGACTGGCTACGTGCAAAAAATATACCTTTTGATACGTTTATGTTGAAATTACAACTTCTAGATCTTGTGAAACAACACAGAGCAAAATATGATAAATATATAGTGGACGAGATCGCAAAAGCGCACAATAAAATGGTACTTCGTTTGCCTCCTTACCACTGTGAGCTCAACCCCATTGAGCTCATATGGGCAGATATAAAGAATTTTGTTGCTGAACACAACACAACATTCAAGTTTTCCGACATGAAAGAGCTGTTCAACCTTGCGTTGCAGAGAATCACACCAGAAAAATGGTTAAAATGTGTGAAGCATGTTCAGGAGAAAGTGGAGGTTGCAATGTGGGAGCTAGACAACATACTTGAAAGGCATATTGAACCGCTAATTATCAACATCTATGATGACAGCTCTTCTAGTGAAAGTGAAAAATATTGATGTTGTCAAACACATATGTATAATTACTTTTTGTGCCCCCCTTAACTTTCCATCACCTCTATTGACTCTGTGACAGTAGTGTTGTGTTATTATTTACTGATGTCTCTTTTTCAAATATTTAGTTCTGAAATATCACCTTAATATTTCCATAGTTTTGAGTCCGACCCTGCTCGGTTCTTGTGTCTACGACCATCATGCCAGCGACGCGTGCTGGTTGTTGTGTCTGGTCTCACATGAAATGGATTCAAGTATAGTTCATAAATCAACAGTACGCAATTTGGGGATCATATTTGATGAATATCTAACGTTCCACGATCATGTCACAAAAATCGTTCAGAACTCTTACGTGAACCTTAAAACACTTTACAGTTATAAATCTGTTCTACCACAGAAAATGAAAATTAGACTCTCTGACTCTCTGATTTTGAGTAAACTGCAATATGGTGATTCGGTTTTCGGTCCATACCTGATACAGGCTGAGACGTACAGGACTCAAAAGGTTCAAAATAGTTGTGTTAGGTATTCTCTTGGTGTAGCAAGAAGAGAGAGAATTTCTAATCATTTAAGAGAAATAAATTTTCTTGCGATGCGGCAGAGATGGATGGTTCACTTAATGACACTGGTCCACACTATACTGATGACAAAGATGCCAATATAACTTAATAGTAAGCTTAGTTTGAGGTGTGAACAGCATTGCGTTAACATACGATTTGTGGGTTACACCCTGAACATACCGTATCATAAAACTGCTCAATTTAGGAAGTCATTTTCTTATATCGCACCCAATTTATACAATAGATTGCCATCAAGTGTAAAAACACTTTCCAATGAAGGTCAAGCAATTCGTTTTAGATAACATTGTTTCAATTTTTGAATAAATTTTAAGTGTCTTTGTTGTATCAGGCTGTTAATATGTATCTTGTACTAACCTATTCATCCTTTTTTGTATCGAGCTTTCTTTCAATGTGTTTAGTGAGTGCCTTGTTAGTGTGTGTTCGTGACATTTACATTTTCCTTTAATCTGCTTTTTAATTTGTTTTTTCAATAAAATTGTACTGTATTTTTTGTGTAGCCCTGGTTGGTGGTGAGAGCAGCTTCATAGCTGATACCCGCCAGGTAAAATAAAGGCCTATTATTATTATTATTATTATTATTACTATTATTATTATTATTATTATTATTATTATTATTATTATTATGTATGTAAACAGTATCAAAATTTTAATGACGCTCTCATTGATAAGGATTAATTAGAAGCTTAGAACAAGCAATCACAACTACAAATAGTGAAAGTGTTGTGAAATCTTAGCCCTCCAATAGTCGCGTACGGTCTCACAGACCGACGAAGAATCAAAATATCGGTAAAAACCCCAAATATGCTTGCAATAGTACGCCGCTCTAGGAATTCCCCCCACTTCATTCAACGCTTCTTCTAGACATGCGGCAACATTGGTTAGTGTGATATTGTGCGTTCAACAGCCAATATCGGTCTCAGGCACCGACGCGACTATTTACGCACGATCGTGAACACTGAACGCAAACAAGGTGAGGTGTATAAATTCAATTATTTCAGTAATCCCATGGCGTTATCTTATGATTTTGGTATTTGTAGATGTACAGGTATACTTATGAAAAGGAACAACAGCGACTTCAATATTTGTTTGAAACAGTCACCATCACAGACACTGAGTCGGACCATGATTCTGACGAAGATGAGATTTCCAGTCATCAGTTAGAAAGTTGTTCCTCCAACCAAATTATCGACAAAGGTGAAGAATATTTGGATTCCGAATCGGACTGTGATGAAGCAGATTTTGTTCAGGAGCCTCTAGAAGCTCATGGTTCAAACGAAGAAGCTAACATCACATATTTTGAGCCACCACTCAACAATACCCTAAGTTTTTTGGGTAAGGATAAGCAAACAAGATGGAAAAAAGTTTCTCCCTTACCGAAGAATACTAAGACTAGATCTGAGAATATCATAGAAGTATTGCCAGGACCAAGTACATACACAAAAAACTTGAAAACTCCCATAGAAATTTGGAAATATTTTTTTTCAGAATAAATTATTGATACTATTGTTATACATACTAACGAAATGATTGAGGGCATTCAAGCAAATTTTGCAAGAGACAGGGATGCAAATTTTACAAATTCAGATGAAATTCATGCACTTCTGGGTTTACTGTATTTAGCTGGAAAGTACAAGGCGAGTCATCTCAATTTAGACGATTTATGGAAAGCTGACGGATCTGGAATAGAAATATTTCGGTTAGTGATGTCTCTTAGAAGATTCAGGTTTTTGATGCGAGTCTTACGTTTTGATAATAAAGCTTCACGTCAGGATCGACTGAAACAGGATAAACTTGCTGCAATACGACATATTTTTGATTTGTTTGTAGAACGATGCCGCAAAGGATATCATAATTCGGAATTCGTCACAATTGATGAAATGCTTTTGGGATTTCGTGTGAAATGTAATTTCCGGCAGTATATTCCGTCAAAGCCAAACAAATACGGGATAAAAGTTTTAGCAATGTGTGACGCTAAAATGTACTATACCAGTAATTTGGAAGTGTATGTTGGTCTTCAACCAGAAGGTCCTTATAAAGTATCAAACAGTGCTCTTGATGTTGTCATGAGACTCTCAAAGGCCATTCAAGGAACAAATAGAAATATCACAATGGATAATTGGTTCACTAGCGTTCCATTATTTAGACAACCTTATCAAAAAAAATTAACAGCTGTAGGTACTATCCGCAAAAATAAGCGAGAGCTACCCTTGGAGTTTACAGTTCCGGCAACCAGACCACCAAAGTCTAGCATGTTTGGATTTGACTGTGAATGTACACTTGTATCATACATTCCTAAAAAAAGAAAGAATGTATTACTTTTGTCCACGATGCATCACAATGATGATTTAGATTTAAACACAGGTGATCTTTTGAAACCAGTTATAATAACTGATTATAATTCCACAAAAAGTGGTGTTGATATAGTGGACAACCTAATTGCCAACTATAACTGTGCTCGTGGTACCAGAAGGTGGCCTGTAGTGATATTTTATGCACTAATGAATATTGCTGGTATAAATAGCCAAATTATTTACTTGGCTAATAATCCGAATGCTGAGGTTTTGTGAAGAGCTTTCATTCATAATTTATCATATGAACTTTTTACTCCACATATGCGAAAAAGGTCCAGTTCGCCATATATTCCAAGACTGATGCGATTACGTCTAAAAGAACTAACAAACCAAGATACTACCGAAGCTCCAGTTGAAAGAGGGCAAATTGGAAGATGCAAATTTTGTGGATCTAAGAAAAACCGCAAAACAAAATATAAATGCGAACATTGCGGTGTTTTTTTGTGCTTAGAACACTTATTTGGCATATGTAACGATTGTAAATGATTCAGTTTACCCTTGTACAGCGTTTTTCAATAGTTCAGTATAGCAATGTTTTTTAACTTTTTTTACTACTCCTTTTTAGAGCTACCTCTTCTTTGCATTTTGCTTGTTATTTTGTAGGGATATGTTTTTAATTTAAATAAAACTGGTTTAAAGTATGCAGTATTATCATTTTTATTTGAAAAAAGTCAAACCTACTTCGTAATATGCAACTTTTTTCTACCTAGTAAAGCCGGTCTCAGGTACCGACGCGACCAAACTATCCTAAATTTATCACGCGACAACTGTAGGGTTAACAGTGACAGTGCAGCATGCAAGAAGTAGGTATTTGGCAAAGGTAGGTGAACAAGATTCATTTGAATTTACCTGCTGATTAATGCAATTAACTTGAGCCATGGTCTTTGTTGTCTAAACAACCTTTCAGAATATGTAATAGACGTAGTGTCGAAGTACCCAACCAAAGGCTGAAGGTTTTCTCACCTGACTTAATATATATAATAAGTATATATTTAACTATATTTGAGAGTAATCATACAGATTTTGGTAGAAGTGATGAATTTCTGAAACTCGAGTATGCCTGATAGATTGAAAAAGACATACAATTTAAAATCATGTTTTAATTGGTCACTGTTTTAAAAATTGTTGATTACTTCCATGCTTTGAATGCAAATGGAATCATAGCTCACTTTAGGTGTTAGGTGTGATATTTGATAAACTGTGTCAATGTCAGTGCGCGGTTTGAACTTTGTAACGACTTCTATGAAGTCAAGATGTTCAGTGAGAGTTCAGTCTTGACCCTCAGTTTAATTTACCTAAATGTGTAGACCTATTAGCTGGCTAACAGTGCTGAATTATTTTAGAATTTGCTATTAGATAGGAGGATCTATCCCTCGTTAGTGATCACAAAAAAGACCAGAGTATACCATTTGCACTTTGCTGAGAACATCATTTGGGTATCCACCAATTGTCCAAAATGCCCTTCGAAGGACATATATTATCAAGTAGAAGAAGTAGGAACATTCAAAGCGCTGGAAAATAGCATCGATGATCATATCTTCTACCAAAGTTTTCAAAATTATTAAGACTTTCACTGTCTCTGTAGTTGTTTATTGATCTCAATGTAATCGAAGTTGCACATACCTCCTTCATCTTCTGGCCTCCCAAAATACTGAACTGCAACGTCGCATTAGCGCCTAAGGTGGTTGAGCAAGTAGTGGCGAAATGATATGGACTATAGACGAGTAGCGTCACTCCGTCGTTGAAACAGTTTTTGGCGAAGTGTCTGAAATTACATTGTGGTATACCAAATCCTACATGCAGTTAAACTGTGATGTCTGTGATATAGCAGCTAGTCAGGAGGAAGATAAACATCCAGGAATGAAGGTCACTTGAAGGTAGTTGACGGCAAAACACCGGATTGTTTTACGCGTTGCGAAACTAGCAGGAAGTGGGGTGCTAATATTTCGATGCTCCGCTAATGATGTAAAGGCGACTATTGTTATTCTAACACATTTGGAATTTGAGACATCGTCGCTTAAGTTGTAACACCACCAGACGCAAAGAATAACTTAAGTATTTGCTTAAAAAAGCCACCGTGAATACCGGAATGTCATCAGTAGGCACTATTAGCTTATGAGGTTGCATTTGCGACTAGACAAACATGGAGGATTATAAGATCATTCGATAGCGACTCCAAAGGCCCATCGTCCTTTTATGCTCTCCTAAAATATTGTTAGTTTAAAGTTACATCGTGCTGGAACTCTTTATTGAACAACTAAATTTTTGTAATTCATGACTGGGTAGTACCAAAAAGAAGAAAATACGATACAAATTTGTTATTTAGTTTTGCATTCTACGTCAATGATTATTGCCAAACAATTCCAACGTAGATCGTTCAAGTATATTGCGAGAAAGTAGTTGTGATGTTTCATTTCTTTATTTAATTTTATACTCTTCAGACTACATTATTCATGTTCCCTGAAAAATAAATACGAACATACAAAAAACAAAGTGATTGTGATTGCACACAGTTTGGAAAATCTGCTTTCTTTTCTGGTTACTAAGTTTAGCGCTCTTACACTCATTTTCAAACTTGTGATCGAACAATATTCCAATCCAACCTCTGTTAGAATCAGTATAGTAGTTACTCATCTTGCACAATGTCAAGGAAACTAGAACGACAGGTGGGTTATCGCCAATGGGTGGAACGCTAAAGCACTCTATTTTACAAGCCTATTTTCCAGAAAATGCTAATTATCATATACAGTCTAGACAGAAAAAATAATAATATGTATTACCCTGTATAAACTCAATTACTCTATGACATGCCAAACTAGGCATTACTCTGTTGAAATCAATAAAATTAAAAGTAGGGAACACATTCAGGTGACCATCCGCCTGTAACCTTTCTTCCCTTTATTTGGATATCTTGGTCGCCTCCAGGCAGTAAATCAAAAACAAAAAAAACCTATTGTATACCGGCATGTGTGTGGGTGTATCTATCCAGTTGAAGGGTGGATGTAAAGCTGGACATACACGCTAATAATATACTCAGCTGACTGGTTAACCGCTTAACGTGTTTACCCGAGATATCTCAGGTAAGCTCGTCTCTCATATTTTCGCCAACCCGACTTAACACGGGCAAAAATAAATTATTAGGTATCTTGTGTGCCTACCCGAGATAATACGATTTAATCGTTTATAGGCATTTTTACTGACGGAAAAGAAATGGTTTACCTTGTGGTGCGAACTGGGGGGGCGGGGGTTGGAGCGTTACTGGTTACGCGCATCGCCGGCATCGCCGCGTTATTTAGTAGTTAGTTAGTATTTGGTTGTAATAGGGGATTGATTGCCGCACATTTTATGTTTTGTTTTATTGTACGCTTAACGATGGAGAGCGACAGTGATGAAAGTTTCGATGGGGTTGATATCGAAGGTGTCGTCGATGAGAGTGGGTCAGGTACAAGTTTGGATGTTTCAACGACGAGTTCTGCTGATAACGAGACCTTTGACGCTGAGCACCACCCAAACCCAAAGCTAAATAAGATATGGCCGATATACGACAAGTTAGTGAATGAATTTTGAGCTACAGTTACTCCAGAGAAACATGTGGCAATTGACGAAAGTCTTTTATTATACAAAGGTAGACTTGGCTGAATCCAATATATTATTGGTTGTGGACTATAACGATACCATGGGTGGAGTGGACCGAGTGGACCAGCACTTGGCTGACTATACCTTACCCAGAAAAAGAGGTAAAAAATATTATGAAAAAATATTTTTCCACCTTTTGGATTTAGCTCTATGGAACTCTTTTATAATATATGTAAAAACGGACGGAACAAAATCAGCACTTGTATACCGATTGGAGCTTATAAAGCAAATAATGGAAAAATATCATCAAACTGAGTTTACTCCAAGAACAGGACGACCTGGTCACTCCGCTTCGTCTGACAGGACGACATTTTCCAGATCTTATTCCAGCTACTGAGAAAAAGACAAATCCAACCAGGCAATGTGGAATTTGCAGCAGGGCTCGAGATGAACGCGGAAAGAAGATTAGAAGAGAAACCAAATATTACTGTGCAGATTGCGAAACCCCCTTGTGTGTGACTCCATGCTTTAGGATTTACCACACAGTTGCAAATATTTAGAACAATGTTTTTTTACTTACTTACATATAATTTTTAAGTTTTAGAATTGTTAACTTAGGTTTGTTCCTCAAATAAATATTTTATTTGTTGCCCGAGTTAACTCGGGTAAGCACATGTATAAAAATAAATGTAAAATTTTTTACAAAAATTCAGGGTTTTATTTAATTTTTAACTCTAGAAAAACTTTCGATTTAGTTCAAAATAAGAAAATAAAAAAATTAGATTTTTTTTACCAATTTTTGAAAAAAAACTAGATCGTTAAGCGGTTAACTAACTATTATGGATATTCAGATTCATGATTCCGCCACAATATGATCTGTATGAATATTTTGGTGAACAAATCATAATCAACTGTCTCTACCCACACTCCGCCAATACACGACGCGAATTCGTACCTAAAATCTCCCAGCGTTTGAGAAGCTTCATTCCATCCAGGGCCTTTGATTTCTTACCTTTCGTCTTTCACTCATACGCAATTGGTCTATCAAATGCTCAAGTTGATGATTCCATTATTACCAACGGCAGATAATGATATATCAATTTTCCTATTTGTAAATCTTCAGAATCTTCTTAAAAATACGAAATATACACAATCCTTAAAGTGTTTTGAAGGGTGCTCCATGTAAAATTTCTCTAAGAATTCTAGTTGCTAGGCTCAAAACTCTTATTGTTATTGTAACCTGTTTATCGCATGTCCTTTCGGTAAACATTACCGTGTATGTTTAGCTTTTGCTTAGAGTGATCCATCAGACGGAGGTAAAGGACATCAAAGAAATAAACCGGCAATAAATTATACTCGATAAAAGAGGGACGCACTACCTAAAGACAGGTTGCAGGACGACGTGTTTCTGCTCCCCTGATTACTCATTGCCGACGGTCGGTTTAATAACTGGTCAGTCAGATTTCCAAACAGAGAGTGAGAGATGAATTTTTCTATGGTAGGTCAAATATATTTGGTATTCAATAGACAAGCCAAAAATTGAAATGATTATGAAGTATATACAGGGTGACTTTGAAGTTGAGTCATTAATTTTCAGATAATGATTGTAGAAGGAAGATAAACCAAAATATGTGTGTAAAAATAAAAAAAAATTACAAAAAAAAATTTACCTTGTTTTATAAAGTATCACCCCGACAAGTATTTCAGTGCGGACCTGTATTTGATCGTGAGATCTTGGAGCACCGGCATGCCGTCCATATGTGAGGTCTTAAGTCAAATGATTCACGAACCCGTTGTACTACATTAACAAAGGCACGAGGGGTTGGTTGCACTCGATTGAGAAACCGATCCGCATAAACATGTGCCATTTTTTATTTCGTTTGAGTCACGCAACAGACACCACTATCCACTACCGACTGACACTGATTGTATACAACTGAATGTAGTAATTGTAAAAACATCGTTCCAAATTCTTTCGCTTTTTTGTTTCCGATGCGATGAACCGATAAGGCGAATTATATCCGTTGTCGCCAAACACTAGGACATAATATTATTATTGAGACAGGGCGGTACTCAAACTTCCAAAGGGCTATAACTTTGTTACTTTAATTTTACCAGAAAAATGGTAAAGGAAAAAAACATTTCTTTTGATCAGATCTACTCACTGTTAAAATAAATGACTCAACTTCGAAGTCACCCTGTATATATACATATATAGAGGTATATATATATATAGGTATATATCTATATTATATATCGAAGCAGTCGCGCAGGCAGAAGTCTAAATGCCGAAACACCGCGGCTGCTATGATGATCCCAAAGAAATTTTGTTAATACGATTTTTGAACTGACTAAGAGCTCTTGTTGACGGCAACGGCCAACGGTCCGTTTTTAAAAACGGACCGGTGCCCGTAGTTCAGTAGTCTTCAGGTGTATATGAACGTTTGTTCACGCAACGGGAGTCGATCCGTTGGCTGTCTTCCCGCCGGCTACACATCCGATCTCCCTCGAGCGACGTTCATCGGCCCGATGCAGTGAATCGTGCAAGTGAATGCAAGTCTGTTGAAGACGTCGGACGGACATCCGTTTTAGCTCCCCAACAATTTTGTTTAGTTTGTGTTTAAAAGTCTCCACGTGTGTACATAATATATGGATCACCAAATTGATATAGAAGCTTTAATTAGTGCCGTGGAAAAGAAACCAGTACTATGGGACAAAACCACAGAGATTTACAAAAATAAGCAGCTCAATTTTACGGCATGGAAAGAAATCTGCATGATTTTACATGAAAGCTTCGATACATTATCGGACAAAGAAAAAAACGATTTTGGTAAGTTTTCATTATTTATTTAAGAATTAGAATAGAAATACATACAACATTTCTTAAGCATATTGATTCTGCCACTGCAATCTCCCCTCTGGTGTCATAAAATAGTCCGCAAATTTATTGCGGATATTATTGGCTGTTAAAGAACCTCTTACCGAATTTGAACTAGGTATATCGAGCAGGGCGGAATCAGAGTCAGTAGCAAATAAATCACTTGCCATATTATTAATAATTCCTTCTTCTTTGTGGATAAAATTTTGCAACAAACAACAAGTTTTTACTATGTCGACTGCTAAATCCGTTGATACATTTGATGGTCGATGGAAAATTCGCCATTTATTCGCCAGTATCCCAAACACACATTCAACGTTCCGCCTTGCTCTTGTCAGGCGATAGTTAAGTGTTCTTTTTACATCATCGAGTTGATGCCCACCACACGGGCGAAGTAAATGTTCATGTAATGCGAATGCCTCGTTCGCAACAAATACATAGGGTAGTTCACACTGAGTTCCCAATTTGTTGGTATATGGTGGTATATTTAATCTATTGTTCACTAAACTTTTCCAAAACTCTGTTTCCTTAAATACAGCCGAATCGCATTCTTTGCCATAGGCACCAACATCAATGAAAATAAAATTATAATTTGAGTCTACCACAGCCATCAACACAATTGAAAAATAATGTTTATAGTTTAGAAACATTGAACCACTTTCTTCTGGCTTTATAACTCGTATGTGTTTCCCGCCTACCGCTCCTAAGCACAAAGGAAAATTCGATGCACTCTCAAAATTGTTTGCTATCAATAACCACTCCCCTTCTGACGGAATTTTCATATATATCTGCAATTCGGACCATATTGCTTTACATACTTCTCGAACAATATAACTTATAGTTTTAATTCCCATTCTAAATGTGTATTGAAGATCCGTGAATGTATTTCCTGATGCCAAGTATCTGTAAAAAAAAACTACAAATAATGTTATTTATTAATGTTTTTATTTTCAGGCAAAGAAGTTATAAAGAAGTGGAGTAATGCAAGAGATAACTGGATGAGGTGTTCTAAGAAAATGAAAGAGTACAAGTCAGGTTCTGAAGCAAAGCCAATTACAAAATATAAATTTTATGAGCAGATGCAATTTTTAAATAAAATTGTGAGTATCATCGACCAACAGAAACAAATATGCCATCTGCTGAAACCGACGTAGAAACCGCGGTCAAAGATGACTGTTCAGTTCCAAAAAAGAGAGGGAAGAAAGAAGTTAAAGAGGATCCCTTGAACAAAAGGATTAGTAACCTACTAGACTCTTCCGAAAAAGAAGACGATAGCAGAATAATGTGTTTTTTTAAAGGAATTGCACCGACCATAGAAAAATTTTGTGATGCTGATATCATAAATTTTCAGTACGAGGTAATTAAAGCCATGCGAAACATTCAGAAAAAAAATATGCCGCAGCATAGTTTGCAGCCCCAGAGAAATTACTATGAAAACAACAATTCAATGACATTTCAATCACAATCACTTCAGATTGCCCAGAATAATATGAATTCAAATACATATGGGGGATATCGTACTACACCATCGACTTCAACTACAAATTATAGTGAAAATACATTGAACGAATCACGTCAATATGAAACATTACATGTTAGAGTACCATCTTCGCCGACTGATGAATATTCTTTGGGACCGTCATCAATCGACAGTCAACATTCATCCGTGAGTCAAAGCTATAATATAGATTTCGATTTTGCAAAATCACCCGGGTCCTATCAATAATTTGTTGTCTTATGTATTAACTTGACTTTGAATATTATAAAACTTAATCAATACGTTAGAAGTTTTATTTATATTGTATTAACAATAACATATTCATACATACCTAATGGTTACAGCTAATCTTTCAGCAGGTGAAATGGGTAGGCGCATATTAGTGTCAGCACGTTTTAATTTATTATGTACCATTCCTAATAATTTGCGAAAAGTCTCTTGAGTCATGCGAAAGAAATTAAAAAATTTAGTTTCGTCTTTCTGTAATTCTTCAAAAAGTGTATGGAAAACACCATAAGTTTCTCGTTCCAATAAAATAGGATGTACCCACATTTTCCTTTTGCGCTTTTCTTTCATCTGCCTTTTTTTGTACAAATAGTATGCTAATATAAGCTTCGTCTTTGTCGACAACATGTTTGCTGCACTGCTGCACGCTGCACACTTGTTTTAAAACTGGCGAGATTTTGGAGTTTTAATATAGACAACGGAATCATCTCCGTGAAATAAATGAATCTTCGACAAGGGTATCCGTTTAGCACCGGCCCGTTATCCGGTAAAAAAACGTTCGTTAACAAACGGCCTAAGCGCTCTTTCACATGGTCAGGATATTTATCCGTCCGTATGATCGCCCGGCCGGGCAGCACCCTGGAGCTCTCTTCACACGGGTGGACGGGTGTGTGCGAAAATCCGGACCACTTTTTGCTAGGTACTTCAGTTTGCCGCTGATTATGATGGACAGTAGACGCAAAACGATTTTGTTCGCTTTATCAAAACATCGGCGAAAAAAACAACGTAATAGGCAAATTTGGGTTCACCCTTTGCTAGAAAGCAGATACCTGGAAGGAGCATTCTTTGTGCTTTTTCAACAACTGAAAGAAGACGAAACTAAGTTTTTAAATTATTTTCGTATGAGCGTTTCTTCTTTTGATGAGTTGCTGCAACGTGTGCAGACACAGCTACAAAGACAAGATACAAATATGAGGAATTGCATCCAACCTGAACAAATGTTGGCTGTTACATTAAAGTATGTTTATTTAAAATAAATAAAAACAAAATATACATTTTAGGTTAATATTCTATTTTTTTAATGCAAAAATATATTTATTATTATAATACTTTAAAAGATCAAAATTCAATATCTGAATTATGTGAGAAAGGGGATGTCAAATTGCTATAATTACTACTAGATTGTGTGTCATTAGAACCAGGAGATATGATGTTTGTAGATATGGTACTCGATGGAATCGTTTCATGATGTTGACTAGAGACCCTGCCTAGCAGTGGAGTGTATGAAAGGTCAGAAGAGGGATATTGCTGAGAGTTCTGTAATGGAGAGCTGCAAGGGTACTGGTGTGTGTGTTGTTGAGAGCATGGAGGAGCATAAATCTGCAGCTGTTGAGGTTGGGTTGTTGGAATAGAGACAGTGTTTTGAATGTTTTTAATCACCTGCAGAACTCCCATCTGAAAATCTACAACCTGGTTGTCTGTGAACTTTTGAACAGATGGAAGAATGCCCTTAAAAAATTACATATGACGATCCTCTTGGTCTCCTGCCTCTACCGATTTAAGCATCCTTAGCTCAAATTCGTCGAGGGTTCGCTTCCTCTTCCTCGTTGACTGTTGCACAGATGTGGTCTTCACGGAAGGGATTTTTGCAGTTGGAGTTTGCGAAGTCTGCTTAGTTGCATCCGGAGTCGCCGTCCCTTGATCTTCTGCTGACTGGAGCTCTTCAGTTTGCTGCTGACTTTCTGCTTCGTCTGAGTGCTCATAGGCCATGCTTGCATCAGTTGACCGGTGATATAAGCCTTGCTCTAGAAAATTTAGTTGTTCGTGATACAAATACTTTCGCAGTTTTGATGCAGCTGCTCCTGATTTTTTCGAGTTTTTGTCTCGATTCCTCCATTTAAGCCACTGGTCTCTGATATTATTCCACCTTTTAAGAACTAGTTGACCTGTAACAAAAAAAATATTCAACAATACTAGACTCGAATTATAGATTTTCAATTTATTGTTTATTTTTTTTTACTTTCAGGTACCTGGCTAGTGGATGTAGCTTTAAAGATCTGTATTATAGCTATCGATTGGGAATTTCTACAATTTCAAAAATTGTTCGAGTGGTCTGTGACATTCTTTGGTCGTGCTTAGTTGAAGAATGTATTCCGAAACTTACGAAAGAACGTTTTGAGTCAGTAGCTGCTGGATTCGAAAAACGAGCGAATTTTTTCCACTGCATTGGTGCTGTGGACGGGAAACACATTAGAATTGTAAAACCCGAGTTTAGTGGTTCCTTATACTATAATTATAAGTCCTATTTCTCAGTTGTGTTGGTGGCAGTTGCTGACTCGAATTATCGGTTCATTTATGTTGATGTAGGTGCATATGGGAGTGAGTGTGATTCAAGTATATTCAAAGAAAGTAGTTTGTGGAAGAGTATACAAAAAAAGTCCTTGGAATTGCCATCTGCAAAGCCTCTACCAGGTTCTGAAGCTACAAACGTACCTTATTTTCTCATAGGAGATGAAGCTTTTGGACTAATATTAATCTACTACGGCTTTTTGGAGGAAAGGAACTTTCACAGAAGAAAAGGATTTTCAATTATCGCCTCAGCCGAGCCAGGAGATATGTTGAGTGTTCCTTTGGTATACTGACAAACAAATGGAGAATTCTTCATCGATCTTTGAATGTTAATACAGATTTTGCCGTTAGTATTGCGAAAGCTTGTGTAGTGCTTCACAATTTCGTGAGAGAAAGAGATGGTTATAAGTTCGAGGATACCATGACAGTTGTGGGTATGAATGATTTGCCAGCACAAGCAAATATGCAAGGTGGAAGGGCAGCTAATAATATCAGAAATGTTCTAAGTGACTATTTTCTAACTGAAGTAGGCAAAGTATCATGGCAGTTGTCGAAAATTTAGGAATCTTGTTTTATTTATTATATAATTATACTATTACCCAACCATAACATATGTTTAGTTCAATGTTCATAAGAAATAAGAGGCAAATAATAAAATAACTTTAAACTTACCAAATTCTTTTCTTTCCCCGCCACTCAAATTTTCAAAATTTTCCTTCAACTGGGCACAAATACTTCTCCACGCTTCTGTTTTTTTGTTGCGATTTTTGTAATCCTCGGCAGCTTTGTCCCAGATTTCTGGTTTATCCTGAACTAAACTAATCAGGATTTCAGAATCTATTTGTCCTACTTCTTTCGACATGATCAAATGCTCGTAGCTACACTGCAGAGTACACACGGTCTTCGTTCGACAACGGACTACACGCTACTGGACTGCAAACAAGTATAAACCAATCGGACGATTAAACACCCGGATCATGTGAATGCATTCATGGCACACTGTAGTCCGCTAGGGCATATTCCGGGCGATTACCCGTCCGAGCTCCGTGAGTTCTAGCGGGGACATCCGGGCGTTTTGTATGCCCGGACGGGGATTCACCCGTGTCCGGGAAGTGTGAAAGAACCTATGCTAAACTGTGTATTACTATTTGTCCGGTTGACGGGCGATCACACGGACGGATAAACCCCCTGACCATGTGAAAGAGCGCTAAGGCCCGACTTCACCAAGCGAGAGCTGTCAGCGGGATAGCTACCGGGCCGACAGCTTACCGCCTGATTCTTGTCGGAGCGGTAAGGTTCGTGCGTTTCACCACGCATCTTCGGGTCGCCGGGGCGGTAGCGAACCGGCCCGGTAGCTATCGGTGCAGCGTAGACATTTAGCGCATAATTCTAGTGTGCCGTGCCTGCGTCCCAACGAGTTCCGTGTTCCGTGGTTGTAAATATGTTTGTAAAGTAAACAAACAGCATCATGGCGAGCAAGAAGGGCGGCATCAACAGGTCTCCAAATTTTACTGCTGGTGAACGGTCACTGTTCGTGGACGTTATCTTAGCCTAATTTAAAAAAGTCATTGAAAACAAGAAGACCGACGCAGTGACAAGAAAGGAAAAGGCTGACGCTTGAACTGCTTTGACGGCGGAGTTCAACTCGCTGTCAGCAGTACACCACCGCCCGGAAACCAGTTTAAAAAACTTGTGGGACACCTTAAAGAAGAATGCGAGGAAGGCCAGAAGCTCTCACAGGGTTGAATCGTTCAAAACTGGTTCGTATATATATATATATATATGTATATATATATATATATATATATATATATATATATATATGTATATATATATATTCAGTATAGTATTTTTCACGAGTAATCAGAATGTCAACCACGACAGCTAATTGCTTAGTTGTATTTCTAAATTCTCCATAGTTCTAGTACACTACAGATTGATTTTGTAATTTACATTTGTTATTATTGCTTTTATTAAGAAACGTTTCTTCACACTACCGCAAAAGAACGCTATAAGCAAAATGGCTGCTGATGATCATGTCTACATTTCAAGTATAATATAAAAAGCAATAAACAGCACCGAATACGCTCCTGAGTTTTACACCAGATTCATGATGGCCAACGCTACAGATTTTTATTCAATTCTATAGACGTCAAAACGGTCTGATTACTCGTGAAAAATACTATATGTAGCACATAACTTGTTGTGTCGAGGTTATATTTTCATTGGCTTGTGCTTGTACATATATATGTAGGTGGTGGAACGAAAGACGACAACTCAACACCTTCTATTATTGACGAGAAGGTATTAGCCGTGCTGGGGCCTTCCTGCGTCGGTCTCGAAAACCCTTTTGACGGTGATTCGTCCGTATCTTTGGTGAGTCACTATTTCTTTCCTAATTTTCTTGTTGGTATTGCTTTTAACCTAAGGTGTAATGGAACACCCTCATTACTTTCAGAGTGGAGAACAATGGGAAGAAGTGGAAGTGGTGGAAGTCCAGCAGGTGCCGGCATTTTTTGTAGAAGAGGCCAAACCACCAGTAAATTCTGAGGGGCCACAACCATCTACAACATCAGCAGGTTCATCCTCAAGCAGTGGTCACAAATGGGAGGAATATCAGCCTAAGCACCTGATGTCACCAAAGGCTGCACCTCTTAAACCTAAGATATCAGCAGAACAAGAGTGGGTTAAGAGGAGCCAAAGGCGTAGGCCCCAATTACCAACCAATAAGAAGGCTAACCAGCTCATAGACGCAAAGTTAGAACTAGCTAGAGCAGCCAAAGAAGAGCTGGAGCTGGAGCGAGTAAGAAAAGGTGAGCTGTTTGAGGTGGAGAAACGGAAGAAACTGCTTGAGGAGGAGATGCTCAAACTTCAAGTTTTAAAATTGAGAAAGGATTTGGGTTTAGAGTAGAATGGATGAAAGGGAGGCACCCAAGCATTACACTTCACTTTTTTATTTGAATTATCAGTATCTGTGGGGCAAGTGCATCCCCTTTTTGTTCTTATGAAGTTTGTTTGGATCTATATTTGTTTGATTCAGAGAAAATGAAAGGGTCTTTGCGCTTGCACTTTACTGGTGAGACATTACTCTTTTCTGTTTAATTATTTGCATTACCTTCATAGGATAAGGTTTACTGTGCAAGTGAAAAGTTTCTCATTCATGATTTACTCTACTTCTATTTTTTTTTTAATTTTAAAGACTGAAACAAAAAGTATTTTTGAGTATGGGTACACTTAACACTAGTGCCATGCTTAAATATAGAAATCAGTATTTAAGGCTTTGATCTCATTGCGTTTTGAGTTTTGTTTTGAGTTAAGCTTCAAGGTAATACCCATTATCTTTTCTTGTTTTAAGTTGCGGTTGCCAAAGCTAAACTTCCTTTTGTTTTGCCTACGCCTAAGATTTATTTTTAGATTATTTCTCATAATTATTGTTAATTTATAGAGAGGAAGAAGACTTGTTTTCTATACTATGCTATACAACCAACTACACAATCTTTGAACATTTAACTTTATTCCTATTCTATTAACATTAGACCAAAAGTAAACAAATGGTTTTGAGGCACTGTACACCAACTGTAACAGGATATCAATAAAAGTATGCTTACAAAAATTTCACCACATTCTCAATTATTCTGATTCCTGTGCAGAGTCCTGAAGTAGTCATTGATTAAAGGTTATCTATAAGGGTCTGCTCCATGGCCATGCTCGTTTGGAATCAGGGGATTATCAATTCTTCCTTGATCAATGAGTGCATCCCATGGTACTGGAAGTTGCAATTCATTGTCATCAGGTGGAAGTGGATCCCCTCCCCTCTTTAGAATATTGTACAGCACAGCAGTGCCAATAATTATTGGTAATGCATTATCTAAACGAGTATTAATACCTAAGGCGAGTATGGGGAATCTGCGCTTCCATACTCCAAATATTCGTTCTATTGGATTTCTGGACCTGATTTGTGACTCATTATATAATATTTCCTCTGGTCTCGCTGGATTAGCTAGAGGTGTCATTAAATACTTTTTGGAAGCATATGCAGAACCACACAAGAGTATAGAATCTCCATATTCATTGTTTTCAAACCGAGCCCGCTGCAAAGAGTTGTCAAAAATTGTTTGGTCGTGGGTGCTGCCTGGCCACCTAGCAACAACATCAGTAAATTCTAAGTTAGCGTTACAAATTCCCTGACAGCTTATAGACATAAAACTTTTCCTATTTCTATAGTACTCTGCATGGTCACCCCCAGGGGAACGTATTTTAGTGTGAGTGCAGTCCACTGCACCAATTACTTTTGGAAAACGAGCAATCACATAAAAGTCTCTTTGAGTCTGTTGTATTTCTGCTTCAGTTCTTGGAAAGTAAATGAATTGACGGAACAGGGAAGCAATAGCAGCTGTAACCCTGTGTATTATGCGGTTGGCGGTAGTATCACTGACACCACTGAAATCTGCTGCGGTCAATTGAGTGCAGTCAGTAGCGTAAAATCTCAAGCACAACAATAACTGGTTCATGGGTGAAAGAGCACCATTTCTGAAAACAATACATATCAAGTTAGCCTAACTTTGTGCATAAGGTGTTAATTTTTTAAGTTTAATATCAAATAACAAGGGAATGTTTGGAATGTCTTTCTTTGAAAAATAAACTCGTCACAACTCACTTCTCAAACGTTGGAAATTCAAACGATGTTCGATTAAAGTTAGAACTTGGAGGGCACTGTTCTTTGAAAGTCGAAATCTTCTACAAAAATCAACATCGTCTAGGTCTTCGAAATTATCTATCCTCTCTCGAATAAATCTCAATCGTCTCGCTGGAAGCTCCATATCTTTCTCATCGTCGCTATCTTCTAAAAAAGGGTTAAGGGCTGCTTCCATGTTGCATCGATCACTCCCGTGACCCCGGTAACTTCGCTATCTGCCCAATTCCCGACCGGATAACTTGTACCGGAGTGACAGCACTTTACCGGGCCGGTAACGCGTGGTGAAACGTAAGTCTTGCTACCGGAGCGACAACTTGGCTGCGGTAACTTTATCGGGCCGGTAGGTGGTGTGGTGAAGTCGGCCCTAAGGTTAGTAGAACTGAGAAAAGCTTCCTCTTGTAGATTGTTCCACAGTCTCAAAACTCTCGAGACAAAGGGGCGGTCGTATTGCCCAGTTCTGGATGAAAGAAGCTGGACACGGTTAGGATGGGACGTCAAAGTTAGGCGGGTCTATCTGGCAGGCACATCGCGCAGCGGCATCATGGAAGAGACCTCCGAGGAGCAAAGCCCGTTGGTGTAGCGGCAGAAAAGAACTAGATCGCCGAAGGCCCGCCGGTGCATAGTGTATAGTATAAAATAATAAAAACAAACAGTCAATTCCATGCAATTAAAACAAAAATAATATCCTTTAAAATACAAACAAGTAATAATTCAATCTAGAATTCTAAAAAAAAAACAGTTTCTGTATAAATCCATAAACAAAAGTAACAAATAAACAAACACATTCTTATAAAAATCTAATACGGGCCACGTAGCAGTCTGAAAAAATGACATATTGTTATTCAAAATAGATTTTCAGTATACAGTGAAAATGTTTCTGTACTATACGAGTACATTGAAAAAAACCTCCGTCCTATTCCCCCAAGTTGGGAATATCATTTCAAAGCGAAGTCTCACTAACTAAGTTTTTCAAAAAGCTTTGTGAAAACAGTTTAGCTACAGTTTGCTTGCAGTGACAAAAAGCACAACAGAAAAATGAACAAAAAATCAGGCCGAATTTTTTTCTTAGGATGCGATTGAAGGTAATAATAGCCAGCCTTCTAAATGCTAAATCCACTAAACGTAAGAGTCAAATAGAAAAATACGACTTTTTTTCTAGCTACCGTCAATCTCTTTGTGAGCCAAAAACACAGCGTTTGTCTTTGAGGTGCCGCGCCGCCGACTGTATAAGCGTACCCGCCAGCTGTTCCACTTCCACATTCATAAGAAAAAATTACATGGATTACTCTTAATGCCTATTGAAATTTAAAATATTATTTTTTTTCCTCAAATGTCTGGTAGCATTTTATGACTAAAAACAGGATAATTTCTTTAATTAATGCATCAAGTTGTAAATTTAATCAAGAAGGACTTATTCATTTCTTCATTTTTATGGGCACATTTCAAATGTCCGTCATCGGACTAAACTAGGAAGTCACAGATGAATGAAATTAACAAATCATAACTAATCATAATTGTTTGTATTAGCATTGGGAGGATTTCTGGAAAAGCAAAAATTCTATATATTTGGTTTGTCTAAAGTGGCTGAACCTACCAGTATGTCTACAAAGTAAGAAGCATGTAGACCAGAATGCAGTTTTGTATAGACACAGAAAGTGGTTAAAGTAAATACTGGTGAAATACTTTTCAGAGCTAATGAAATTAGTTCCAAGAAGGATAAATAGCCAGCGCTAATTTCGTAAACTAAACGTTTTTCATATTTATATTTTAGAAGAGAATGTTCAGTTTCCAAACGTAACTATGTTCGGTAGCCTAGCACTTACGGCTTGTCTATTCAATACCAAACATCCAACCTATCATATCAGAGTTAATTAACAACATGCTTCATATTGAAATTTGAAAGAAATATGTTGCTTTTCAAAAGCCTGGAGATATATTACAAATAAAGACGTAATCTGATTTGAAAATCACACCATATTAGGAATTTAATTAAGCCTACACCTGATCAACAGCAATAGCCCACCGCCACTGGAGACAACCAAGCCACGCGCCTCTATAGAATGCGGTACCTTTTATCTATAATTTATTGCTCGGACATTACCTTCCAGTATCAATCATGCTTTTTAGACCGCCTTCCGTGTACAACGTTGCAGTTCGGTATTTTTGGAGGCCAGAAGATGCAAGAGGTATGTGCAAGTTGGATGGCTCATCTTTGTAGCTGCTTCGAGGAAATATTCAGGTAAAGAGCAATTCATACCCACTATGAACAATGCTTACAATATTTTAAATAACACAGAACGAATTAGCAATGAAGTGAAGAAACCCACAGCGTCATTCAATTTCTTTGTGACTTCCAAAACTTGTCAAAACAACAAACACTATTACTTGTCAAAAAACTATAGCGATTAATGATTTCAAGCTTCTGCTCTAATATCAAAGATGTTATTATTATATGTCATGTTTCTAAGATTGATAATAATCATACAACATTAAAAAGTTAGAGGAAACTTTATTTTTAAGCGATAGCACATTTTTCCTCCAGATCATAAAGCAAGCATTGTTCATCTGCTTCTGTTGGATAAAAAGGTCTGTTATTATTATTACTGTACTGATGTTTTCATAGTAATGTATCATATTGTATATACCTGACAACGGTGGTGGAATTTCAAAGTCAGTTAAGAACTAGACGTGGTATCGAGCGGTTGTATATGGAGAATATATTCGAATAGTGCGATACTCTTGTTTTTCTTACAAAGCAGCGGTGGGATACCTTAAAATCAGTTGAATTTTCCTACATCATGGGGAAAACTAAATTCAAATCGCGGAATAGAAGTGGGAAGCGGAGCCGAAAGGAATCCTCGAGTGAAAGTGACAGTTCGAGTTCGGCCTCTTCCCATCGATCGTCTTCAAGAAAAACTATAAAGAGATTGAGAAAAGAATTAAGCGAATTGAGACGGTACCCGGCAATCATTCGTACGGGAGATGAACTCTTAGTGCCGACGTTTGATCCTAATCGGGACGACGTGATGGTGGATAAGTGGCTGGATAAAGTTGACCGTTTGGCAGAGCGCTATCACTGGGATGACGATGCCATTCTACGACTGATTTCTGGAAGACTGCGAGGCAATGCCCGTCAGTGGTACGAAGAAAATGTGGACTACGACTCCAGTTGGGATGAAATTAAAAGATCAATGAGCCAGCACTTTCGTAAGTCCGTCCCATTTTCTAAATTATTCAAAGATGCCGCTAACTACGACGCATCACCAGGGCAAAATTTAGGCGATTATTGTTTCAAAAAACTGTCCAAATTGAGAGCACTCAATATACAAATACCTGATCCCTATTTGATTGATGCAGTGATTGGTGGTATCAGGGATGAAAACATAGCAAGAACGGTCAGGGCTGCACAACATACGGACGCAAATGCTCTATATGCTTACTTAAACACTGTAGGCGAAATGCCTCAAGAAAAAAAAGTCCTCATCTTAATAGTGGAAATTTTCAGCCGTCAACGTCGTTCAGATCTGGTTATGGCAATCGTAATAAAAAGGAAGTCAATAAGCCTTCAGGCTCGCGCCCAACATGTTTTAATTGCGGTATTCCGGGCCATATTTCATCCAGTTGCAGAAAGCCACGCGTGGAATGTACCAACTGTAAAAGATTGGGACATCTTAAAGAAAAGTGCCCTTTTCCGCGTAAGGAAGTGCATCAAGTTGAAGCACTAACGAGTGTGGATTCTAATATTTTTTTTTGCAAAATGCCCGAATTTGCGGAAAGAAAACAAACTGTTTAATAGACTCTGGCAGTTCTAACACACTCATAAAAGAATCACTCGTTAGAAAACTTGGCCTTCTTCGTACGGATTCGAAGGATATGACTTTGTACAGTTTTATGGGTACCTTTGTGAACAGTACATCGTTTTGCAAGATCACCGCTAGTATACAGGGAGTTTCAGCAGAAGTGCGTGCCATAATTGTTCCGGACAAATACCTGAAATTTGATTTATTAATCGGGAGAGATTTTATTAACCAAGAACACGTGGTTATGACTAAACGTGAGAACCGATTAATTTTATATAGGTTGCCTCCCACCGAAAACCTTTTTGTGAACTTGATAGAAGTTTTCGACAATGGCTTGGATCTCAATAATATACAGATAGGTGCTATTTCGGAAGCCGATAAGAAGGCCTGCATTTCTTTGTTGCATCATTTTTCGGACTGCATCTCATCTTCTATGAAACATTTAGGAAACACGGATACAGTAGAAATGGAAATAAAATGTTTGGTCGACACGCCAGTTGCGCGTCATCCCTATCGAATGCCCGACATAGAAAAACATCCAATCCCCTTTCATACGATACACGTAGATCATGTTGGACCATTTGTGACAAGCAAAAGAAAAAATAAGTATATTTTTGTAATTGTTGACGCATTTACCAAATTCACAATAATAGAGCCGGTACATGATCAGAAAAGTAAGCACGTGATCAAGGCTTTAACTGACGTAATCCATTTATTTGGGGTACCTTCAAGAATTATAAGTGATAGAGGTACGGCCTTCACATCTCGAACCTTTAAAATGTTTTGTGACACATATGGAATAAGGCATGTCCTAAATGCAGTCGCCACGCCAAGGGCTAACGGTCAATGTGAACGTTACAACAAAACAATCGTAAGTGCTCTATCAACAACTGCTGCAGGAAAAGATGAGCGAGATTGGGATAGATACGTAAAACAAATACAAAGTGCATTGAATACGAGTTTTAACAAAGGCATCAATTCGACTCCTATGGTGGCCCTGATTGGTTACAATTCTAAACATGCAGCTGAGGCGACAGTTTTGAGTGCAATTCAAAATGAGATAGATAGACTTGACCTAGAGGAGGTTAGGCATAAGATTTCAGGACATATTGAGGATGATAAAAAAAAACAAAAAGAACGTTACGATAAAAGTCGACGCAATGCCACCCAGTATAACGAGGGTGACTTGGTCAGGGTATTGATAACGAGTATACCATCTACGGGAACTAGCCATAAGCTACATGCAAAATATAAGGGACCTTTTCGAGTTACGAAAAAATTATTCAACGATCGATACGAAGTTGAAGACTTACGAGAAGGCTTCAAACGGAAGCGAACTGTTGTAGCTGCAGACCAGGTCAAGGCATGGGTGACCCTAATAAACGATAATTAGAGGCAAAAGTTGCCCACATGCGAACATCGTATTTTCAAGAAGTTATTTTTGGCAAACGTTGCCTTCAAGCGAACGTCGCTACCACGTTATTTTTGGCAAACGTTGCCTTTAAGCGAACGTCGCTTCCACGTTATTTTTGGCAAACGTTGCCTTCAATCGAACGTCGCTTCCACGTTATTTTCGGCAAACGTTGCCTTCAAGCGAACGTCGCTTCCACGTTATTTTCGGCAAACGTTGCCTATTAGCGAACGTCGCTTACTTACGAACAGCCTGGCAAACGTTGCTTGTAGATGAACGTCATCATGTGGAAAACATTTGCGCAAATCTTTCCTTATCTGCACTACATTTGATTGGACTGCAATTTTATTTTACCTTTCTCTTTATTGTTATTTTGAGATATGCATTATGTAAGATCTTGTGAAGTAATTTTTTTTTTATATTTCCTACGTTATTATAAGTCTAGGTTTTGAAGCTTTGAGAATTGAAGCTTTTCTAACGTTTAATTAGTCTGAGGACAGCCTAATGGTCAGGATAGCCGAGTGTTATTATTATTACTGTACTGATGTTTTCATAGTAATGTATCATATTGTATATACCTGACAACGGTGGTGGAATGTCAAAGTCAGTTAAGAACTAGACGTGGTATCGAGCGGTTGTATATGGAGAATATATTCGAATAGTGCGATACTCTTGTTTTTCTTACAGGTCTTTTTTCCCCAAACGAAGAACTGTACCACCAACAAAATCATAAAGATTGTAGAAACCTTGTAGGAGTACAACTTGATGACATAGCTTTCAAAAAATCAGGGATTACAGGGTGATTCCGCGCATTCAAGTGTTGATCCCTTGAAACATAAAAAAATTGTAGAACCCAAACGAAGAACTGTGCCACCAAGAATCTCATATATGTTGTAGAGACCTCATAGGAGTACATCTTAATAGCATAATTTTGCAAAAAACTCAGCAAAGTACAGGGTGATTCTGCGCATACAATGGTTAACTCCTCAAAACAAAACCAAAATTCGCAGAACCCAAACGAAGAATTGTGCTATCAACAAACTCATACATGTGGTATAGACCTCATAGAAGCATATATTTGTGGTATAGCTTTGCAAAAATCAGGGGACTACAGGGTGATTTTGCGGATACGAGGTTTCACTGCTTAACACATAAAAAGTCGCATAACGCAAACGAAGAACTTTACCACCAACACACTCATAAAGATTGTAGAAACCTTGTAGGAGTACAACTTGATGACATAGCTTTGCAAAAAAATCAGGAATTACAGGGTGATTCTGCGCATTCAAGTTTTGATCCCTTGAAACATAAAAAAATTGTAGAACCCAAACAAGAACTGTGCCACCAACAATCTCATATATGTTGTAGAGACCTCATAGGAGTGTGATAGAGTAGGTTATATTGATGCCAGGAATGTTAAAAACTTTTTGGTCTTAGGCCATTTTGACGAATAATTGATTTTTTCAAAATTGTTATGTATACACAAAGAGGGGGCAAAAACGGGGGGTTCCGGGCTCGCTTTGGAAAAGTAGACGGTTACGTGTGATAGAGTAGGTTATATTGATGCCGGAAATGTAACAAACTTTCTGGTCTTCGGCCATTTTGAGGAATAATAATTTTTTTCAAAATTGCTATCTATAAACAAGGAGGGGAAAACGGGGGGCTCCGGACTTGCTTTGGAATAGCGGCCGGTTGAGTGTGATAGAGTAAGTTATATTGATACCAGAAAGATAGAAAACTTTTTGATCTTCGGCAATTTTGACGAATAATGGATTTTATCAAAATTGCTATGTATAAACAAAGAGGTGGTAAAAACTGGGCGTTCCGGACTTGGTTTGTGGAAACAGCTGATATGGTGTGATTGACTAGGTCCTATTCATGCGAGAAGTGTCCAAAACATTTTGGTCTTGGGCGGTTTTGAAAAGCTATAGATGATTATATAGCTTCTAAAATATTAAGTTTTAAAGGGGGGTCAATTTAGGGTATCTGTGAACGAGATAACACCGATTTGAACTTAGCGTAAGTAAAATATACTTTTTCTAATCAATTTACATTTCTCCAGGTTTATTTTAATGTAATATCAATTTCTTCGCGTTTCTCCTCACTTTCAGGAAGATTTTGGAGGAAGGAGATAAAACTTTTACAGTACATAAAAAGCCATTAATACAATCGAACTACGTGAAAACCGCATCGATTTATGTTTATTTGGCCCCAAACTGCGTAGGTAGAAGTGGTAATGGCAAATTTTCGGCACTGCTGCCTTTTTACTGTTTCGATCAGAACGTGATTGATCGGAACTTCAGCCACATAAATTTTTAGATTATGAAAGAATGGAACGTATTTGGTGTGATGAATATCACATGATTACAGTTGTTTTCAGATCCTCCATGTACGTAGATAAGGATAATGTTATCCAGTATTTTTTGAAAAAACAGCATGACGTTGATTTGTTTTGATCGCAATACTTTTAATATAATGATATTTGGGAATTAACTTTCAGAAACTTAATTTTTCTTTTCATTATGTTGTAGGTGCACCATCTCACAACAGGGAGCTACTGACTTTTAAATTTTAAACAAGATAACATTCATTTTATTTTCTAGGTTAGAAGAAACCTATGACAATGACATTGACTTGACACCACAAAACAGAAAACATATACACTGAAGAAAGTATAGTCCCGTGCGATACATAGGCGAACACGGTTGATTTATGTCACTTGTCAATCGACATTTTTTTTAGACGTCACATGGTTACCAGATTCTGTAAAAACGACACATGCGAGTTGCCGGCTCCTCACATAAGTCTGAGTTATACTCGTACAATTTTAAAGAGGGCATTTTTCATGCTATATGGAAGATTTTATAACGCTATATGTTATTAACGTGTATTTTCTGTCTCGACGAGCAAGTGGTACTTATATTTTGAAGCAGCAGGGTCTATAATACAGGAAATTATCAAAATCATCCATATATCCTACTGTACCGGACTATAACTATAATCATAATTGCAATTTTTACCGGCAGCTGGTGCTATTAGGCTTTGACGTTCAGCAGTTTGTTTACAAAAGTCATCATCCGTTTAAATACGATACATATGATTGTAAGCCCTAATTAGTGCCATAATTTTACATGAACTTTTATATGGATCCATCCTAAAGAGGCAAGAAGTCCACAATATAGCAATACTTTGTGCTTATAGCAATGTAGTGTCTAGTGGTGCCGAGTGTTTACAGTTTTTGGGTTCAGGCGACGTGCCACAGTGTGTCTATATAATATATATATATATACATTCCGGCACACTACATACCCAGTTCCGAGCTAGCAGCCGTTGCGAGTGTATACTTGCACGACTGCGACCCACCCGGACATATTGAGCAATCTTATTGCAATTTTCATTGCGATAGATTGGTTGTTTGCCATCTACGATGGCAAAAATTGAGAAGCTGGTTAACCAGCTGAAAGAAAAGAAGGATGCTTTCGCCATGCTGGAAGAGCAGATGCGAAACCTGCAA